ACACGGCAAATAAAGTCGTCGACACTATAAAATTTTCAAACCTTAATACAAGAGAATAAGAACGATAATCGATGAGTTGTAGAATTTATATAGACATTACTTTTTGCCTGTGATTTGCTTCAAAAACATTGATGTTACTAGTCTTTTGAGACGGCAGATTAGTATCGAAAAATAGCCAAATACGAAGACTCCTTTAGGCTGATAATTCTGACTTTTGTTTTAAGATTTACAATATTTTTACAGCAGAGCAGCCTACAATATCTATAATATGACAAGTACGACTGCCAGCCCTAAGCACCTTGAGTAAAGTTACTCTTTATGTTCTTGAATACCTATCTACATATTCCTTAAATGTTTACCATTGCATTGTGCACCCTATTCCAACAGTAGAGAACTGAATGGGTCACTAGACATGGCACCTGCCCGACTAGGCACAATAGACCCTATACATACATACTCAATGCAATTGCGATGCACGCTCACTCAATCTGCACCTGTTAAAGGCGTTGTGCCGGCTCTTTGTAATTTGTTACCTTTAAAGAGACACTTACCTCACAAATAAAAAAAAGCAGCAGTTTTAGATGCTAAATACAAACGTTGTGTACCAATAGTTTTGTCCTACAAATGAAAATACAGGTTCCTGTTATATATAAATATTTAACATAATAAATTTTATGGCACTAATTTGGAAAATAATTACGATTTGAAAAAAGCAGGTTAAGATATTACAAAAATAAAAGCTAAAATACATATGGCATTAAATTACTTAGATAAACGCACAAAAAAGAAAGATAATAATGGACTTTATAAAGAAGAAAGATTGCCTAGTGGCTTGAATTTGTAGGAGCATTTTCGGCCGACTAGTAGCAGTTAAACTATTCTATGCAGACATGCTGTTACTTCTACATTATTTCTCAGATAATAATGGACTTTATAATTATAAATAAAAAAGCAATTGTCAACTAACCTATTATAAAATAAATGTGTACGCACCGAGAATTATACTAAACAATGGAATTAGTGAATGTGCATCAAATTATAAATGTGTTATTTATATCACATTATCGTCAGCTCTATAAATAATTATTTGTGCATTTTATAATAACTTTCATAGTTATACTTCTTGATCAACAACATTTTAGCCATTATTAATAACAAGCTGTTCTCCTGCGACTTCGTCCGTGTAATTTTTAGCCTATGTCATCTGCATATTATGTAGCTTCCCATAGGTATATTCAATGCAAACAAACAAATAATCAAATCTTTCCTCTTTATAATATTAGTACAGATATTCAATAAAAAGGACATAGTATCATTTTCATAGTACAAATATACCCTATTATCATCACTGTTGCCAAGCTATCTTTTATCAGTCACACAATTAAATACATCACTACCCTTATATTACTACAGAGTAGAGATATACATATCTGTGTCTATCTCAGCATTTTCCACTTTTTGGTCCTTGGATAGCTAGGAAATAAACACAATTTTAAGGAACCCTTCTCAACAAAAAAGGAATTGGTTCTTTTATTTTTGATTTCTAAATTATATTATAAACAATTGAATGTAGACAAAACACTTCCAGATTCTTCATACTATAAATGAAACAACAGCAAAATCACTTTTATGTGTAAAATTTGTCTTAATTACAATCTTTTTGAATAAGTTTTATAATAATTTTATTGTCCTTGCAACATTTTTTATTTGGGCTCAGCGCAATGTACCTACTCTAATCTTCTCTCATAGGTTTCAATCAACAATCATCTCTGGATTTTCCCTCCTTTCCTACAGTCATCAAATTTTTCTTCAAACTTCCATTCTGTAAAATAATGTTCAATAAGGGCTTTCAATGCCACAGCCCATCTTCAATCACAGAATTTGTGGGCCTATTTTTAATCCTATAGGAACTCTGTTATTTTGGGATCCATCATTATGATATAATTATAAACATTTCTTTTACGGACAACAATAAGGTTTAACAGCATAAATTAAAACTTAATAAATGTTTATTCCATGTGCTTACTCAAAAATACCTAAGCACCACTATTCTTACCCAAATAACCTATGAATTACTGTTCAAAGTAAGTAGAAATTAACCTAGCAAAACTTAAGCAATTTAATTATTACACTGTATGACCCAATTCCTCTACTAGACTGAAATTTTAATCATTCTTATCATATAACTAATTTACTTCATTATAATCCATTATCTATATATTCTGCAACAATTGAAACAATAATTATTATCAACATAGATAAAGTAATAAGCATTTGTTTTTATATTTTTCAGTCTTTTATACTCTACTCTACTTTGCCTGCGTAATTATAACCTAATATTTTAGTAGTTAAGGAACCTATCCTATGCAATTAAACAATTTTCTGTCTATATTAGAATTATAGATCATACAATATGATAATTATATTTTAAGAAAATATATCTAAGTGAGAGCTATAAACAATAAGAGAATAAGTTGTTAAAACTTATTTAACTGGCTTGTTTCTAAAGCTAACATGACAAATGGTCTAATGAGCATGGCATGAAAATACACACCAATATGAAATGATAAATGTAACAAATCTGGTTGTCAATTTTCAACACTTTTCACACTTCATTAAGAAGACAAGGCCAGCGGAAAATGTGGTTCATGCATGTGTGTATAATTTATATAAATTTGTGTGTAATATCTTGTACTCTACAGGTTTAATTCAATGTACACTAATGTGCTGATTATAAAACTTCACCTATGGCATTAATTTTATGCACATGCATACACTTAGCAATTTGGGATACACGTCTTTGTTCATAGTATTACCCACATGTGACAGTGGTATTATTGCTGGCTAAATAACTCTAGTTCTTAGAATCTAGTGATCATAAACAAAAATGTTTAAAATAAACAAAAATATAGAACATTTAACCTGGAAATGCAGTGACGGCAAAACTAATATTGACAAGTGTGAAGTCAAAATTTAATAAAAAAACACTATAGAGAAATTGTGACTTGTGTGAACATTGGCACACAAGTCACAATTTCTCTATAGTGGTATAGTATATTTCTCTATTGGGATTCTGCATCTCAGTTGTTTTTACATCATAACACTTATAAGTATGTCGGGTCAGACCAATTTATACTTTCAAAGTATTAAGAGATAAACAACATAGACTACTAAATCTACTATTTTTAAAATTCTCAATTGAAAACAATAATAAAATGAAAAGTAACAAGAAATAATAAAACAAATTATCAATAATATAGTTGTTTTCATTGTCATTAGCATTAGAATTATAGTTATTTACTTTATATTTATATGAGTACCTAATTATTCCATTGCTGTAGCAAGCTGCATAAACATGGAGTAACAGACAACAATAAGTTACAAGGTAGCAAATCCTGTAAATAACTATTACTCTGAAATCACACTGTATTTTTAAAAATATACTGAAATATATAAGCTATCTGTGTTTTGCTCTCTCGGAGCAAATACATCACTGAATTTTTGCCTTTTTGCATCACAGTAGCTCACACGCAAAAATAAGATTATAGATTTAAGTTCTTAGATTAAGATTTAATTGTTTCTTATATTTAATATTGTATCAAGGCATGTAAAGTGATGCAAATAAATACTATATCTATCTATCTATCCCCATAGATTATCAAGTTATCTAATATGGTTTTAAGAATTTTACTGTAATCTCATATAATCCAAGTAAAAATGCAGAAATGTTATTTATAAACTTGTCACTGCAGTAATTCAATAGTAATTTTAAAGATTTATAAGCATTTACATCAGGCTTTATGTCAACATCAGTGTATGAATAATAAAGTAATGATACCAAAACATTTAAGGATATTTTTCATCACATTATATCATCTCATTGTAAAAAAACTGTATCCAATATTACTTACTAAATTTCTTAAGTCTCATTACATCTGAATTTTTGAATGGTTTTTCATAGTTTATTAATTGATTTTATTATAATATTTTTTATGTAATCTCAACAATTATTTCAAATGTAATCATGTTGTGTACACTCTATTAGGATTGCTATCTAGTTTTGTAAAAAAATGAATTTTACTATAGTAACCTAAGTATTGAAAGAACCAGGGTACCTATAAAAATAAATAAAAATTTAAAGTGGAATTAACATTTTTGTCAATCCGTACCAATATGTAATAGAGAATTTGTCACCTAATAAGATCAATGACTTCATACCTGTTAGTCATAACAAAATATCTATTGGGATGTTACATTCAGATTGAGCTATGTTTGTGAATATCCTATTTTCCCATTTACTTGGATTATAAACAAAATATTATTGTAATAGAAAAGAAATAAGATAAAATTTAGGAAAAACCTTGGAATGTTCTTATTATTTCATATATGAATAAATATATATAAAATACACATATATTACAATACTAAATCTACTAAAGTCTACTGTAATCTGTTCATAGCCTCAAATAAACAAATGATAAAATGAGTGATGGTCAAAATAGTATATGTAATATTATTGAAAAAAATTACAATCCATTTAAATATTTAATTGTATAAGCAATATCTAAATTGGCCAACATGGAAACTTAAGACATAGGCGCTAGATAGACCAAAAAACTATACGAATCGATGTCTTCGTTACAACGGGTTTCGGTCGAAAGTAGACATATTAGAATCAGTATGCCTATTTAATCAAAGCATATTTTTATTGAATTTCAACATATCCGACTATTATATGTTGCCAATAATGATCCTCCGCACAAATCACAGGATACGTGACTCCATCATCGTTTTATTACGGACCCTTTAGCTCTAATAGGCGTTTCACGCAACGCGTTTCCGCCGGCGAGTACAGGCGCATACACCCATTTCAATTCTCATTCACACTCGTAAGACCTCTATTACAACAATTATGACTGACGTTAACTATTGAAAAGCGCAAACAGAAAAACAAAGCTTATAAATCGGCAAAACTAGCAGAAAATAAGCTAGAACTTTACCCTTCTGCCAGCAATTTCTCGTCGATCGACCCTCCAGTGGTTTACAGGCGTTTCCTATACCACCATTAAGACTGGATTCTCACTTTTTGGCACATTTTGTATCTTAATAACAGCACTACACTGAATTATGATTATATTCACAAGGTTTTATCACGAAATCATCCACCATTAACTTTTCATACACCCTCGAGCTCGGTCCTTTTCACGGCCATTTGCAAATTGCGTCAAAGTTCCTGGAATGTGATTGGTGTGTTCTGCGCTAGTGTAGTTTGATTTTATCATGACATCTGGTGGCGGTTTTAGAAACTAAAAAAATTAATATACGATATAAGACTCTAAGACGAAAAAGTTAAAGTCATGTATTGTATGTACTAGAAAATATATACGCCATTTTTGCAAAATCCAATAGGGTGCGGTAGGGCACATTTGAGAACCCCGAAGAGTGTGACGTCAACTGGGCGTGAAATCCAAACGCGGGACTGTTCAATTTTACTGTAATATACTTTAAAAGATAACAAATTATTTTTATTTATTACAGAATGATTTTAGATAAACAGTAATAAACTATTTTTAGATTAGTGCGATTGTGCATGTACATGCATATCACTCATTTATTTTTGTCTATACTATTTATTACGCTCACCAAAGAAAATTTAAACCATGGACGCATTTTATTTAGATATTCTAGAGATAGGGATTCCGATCTAGATTTAAAATCAAAATTTACAAACTTGACCAATGATTGTTCACCTCTTAGATCGATTTTAAGATCGTTGATCGATATTTACTAATAGTAAAGAATTTATTTTGTATTTGCCTTATTAACTTTAAAAAAAAATCTATATAAACCAAATATAAACTGTAACCTCTATCTTAAAATGTGATCAGCGGTACTGGTTTAGGCAGATTTTGTTTGTTGATAGTGCTTTGTTAATCTGAAAACAAAGTCGGCAAATGTCTAGAGTATGCACATAATTTCCTTCCATTTCAAACATTAACTTTGTTTTATTGGTTCGATTTTAAATTGTAAACAACACTAATCACATGATCAAGTGACATATCAATAAAATAACCTTTAGCGTCGTTCTTTTTAAAAAATACACATGAATTAGCATTTATCGATTTACAATTTCCATAATGTAACCATTCGGATATACCCAAATAATTTTGATAGAAAGGTTTTTGTACAACAACCTTTGTATCATAATTGTATCAGAATTGAATCTCATATAGGTATGTCGATCTGAAATCGATTAATCCTAAAACCGATTCATTAGAGTAAAATAAACGATTTTTAAGATCAATTGGGAATGCTAGATCGATTCTTGAATCGATGCGTGAACCCCTTGAATCGGACTGATTCAATTCAATTCAAGAATTAGCAATATAAAATTTCTAAATTGGCTACGATATTTAGAGTTTTTTAAAATTTTGCTGTTGTTGGACGCATTGATAATTTGAACGCATAAAATAAATATTTATGAACGCATTCGAATGTCAGTGTAGTATGGTTGCCACTACTGTCACTGTTTCTTGCCCGTACACAGCCCATGGAATCACGGCTGTGGCGGGGGGCTGCCAGGAGAGGCGGAGATGCACGGCGGTATACGCAAGAGGAGACGTTTTCATTGAAGTTTTATTTTATTTCTTTTTTCCATATTCTGCCGTTTCAATAGGGATAACAATATTTTTTTAAAAGTAAACAAATTAGAGAAAGTTTTCTATTACTGATGTTGAATCACTTTAAAAAAATTCTCTCACTGGAATAAAATATTCCTGTAAAAGGCATATTTCATTGAAAAGTTCGCGATTAATCGAAAATCGATCTATTAATTTGACTTGACCGTTATTCGAAGCTTATAGTTATATGAGATAGGTGTCACCTGTTCCCGCCACTATTGCTGTCTCTTTTTATCTTATATTTGCATCTCTTTCATACCCCTACCCTACCACCTAGGCAGTAGTACAGTGGGGCAGCCATTGGTTGCCGCCATTTTATTCTTCATTGGCGTCTTGTTTCCCGCCGTGAACGTTCGTGATCACGAACTACTACAGCTTATAATTTAAAATAAAATAATTCAGAATATTTTTTTCATTGAATTTAACAGTGCAAATTAGGTTTGCTGAAAGTTTCGGATTAAGAAAATTACAATGCCGGACAGCGACGACCAGAACTGTGTGCCTCCGGGGCCGGCCGTGCCGCCACCAGCACCTTCAACGCGGCAACGTCCCCATACCTCGGAAACCAGTTCCAGTACCAGCAGTAGTGACTCTTCGAGTTCTTCTTCGGATTCTGGTTCTCACAAGCGGAGGCGTCGGCAACGCGACAAAAAAAGGGGGAGAAAACGTGGTCGTCGCTCAAACCGTAAGTTAGATGAACTTTATAAGGAGGTGAAACTTTTACGTGAACAAATAGCTGCAAATAATAATGATTGTTTTTCCGATGTGAGTAGAGACCTGTATAACGATAACGATCTACCCTCATCATATTCTTTACCAGTGGCTCCCGCCCACGTATCAAATGAGCAATTTGATTTTAATATTCAAATTCAAACTAAATTGAAAGAACCAGCCATTCCAACGACTTCCGATTCGGATTTGAAACTGTTACACGATCTTCAGCTGTTTAATAATAAAAATTGGTCCGAATTGCGATATTACGATACTCAGAAGTTGTATCAACATAGTCCTGGTTTTGTAGATTTAGAAGCGAATGAAGAAATTAAAATGTTCGATTCTCTAAAACATTTAACACATGCTGATAAATCATATGCTGCCTTGACCTTATGTATACTAAAGCAACGAGAGGCGTTGCAATCCGCCTTAAGAGATTTATTAAACTGGGCCAAAGACTCTGAATCTGTCAACTATGAATTACTTAAAGAAAAAATTTCAATTCTATTTTCTGACGGTGACTTTCAAAAAAGGTCATCTGACTTACTACAACTGGCTTGTGGTCACCGAGCCGAGGTAATACAAAGTCGTAGAGACTGTATAATAAATCATGTCAAAGACCCTCTTATGAAATCCGTATTTAAAAAGATACCACCTTCTTGTAAGAATCTATTTGATGCAGAGGCTTTCACAACTGCCTTAGAGAAAGCTGGAGGTGTCAGAAAGTGTTTTTGGCCTATTAAAAAGAAAAAAGCAACTAATTCTGCTTCGCAAGCAGGATTGACAGGAGCTTCAAATGTCCCCTCGCAGGGTACATCCTATACTGTGGCGCCCTCACAGGGTACTGCTTATAATAGTAATGCTCCATACATGCATGTGACCGCATCACATGCGCATCATGTTAGACATCCGCCCCCGCAGGGCGGCTGCAATTATCATTGCTCCTCGCAGGAGAATCAGCACATAAACCCGTCTTATCAACGAGGATCCTTACAAGGGCATCCTCCCAGACAAGGTAAAAGGTCTAACGATCAGTACACAAATAACCGAAAACGAGGCATGTCATCCTCTAACAGCAGAGGTAGTAAGAAGCGAAGATTTTGACGCGAACTCCTTCAGAGCGGGCCGTCTAGCTCGTTACTACAAACAATGGGAAAAGATGGGAGCTCCAGATTACCTACTAAAAATTATTCAGGGGTATCGCATACCCTTTCGTTTAAAACCACCTCTTGTTTACCCCAGCATTCGCGGAAAAGCATTCCACACTCCTCAGTCCGAAGAGATGTCAACAGTGATAAACAATTTAAAAAGACAAGGTGTTCTGAAGGTAGCCCATCTTTCCCCATGCTTTCTCTCGACAATGTTTCTCGTGCCGAAGAGCGACGGTACTTCTCGTCCCATTTTCAATCTAAAATCGCTGAACGAGTTTGTTATGACGGAAAGATTCAATCTTATAAACTTATTCCGAGTACCAGAATTTCTTCAGCCCAACGACTATCTATGCAAAATAGATCTATCTCAAGCTTATTTTCATTTGAAAATAAGCCAGAGTCACAGAAGATTTTTACGTCTAATTTACATGAACGAAGTGCTAGAAATGACATGCCTCCCTTTTGGTTTGAGTACCGCTCCAAAAACTTTTGCTGCCCTAACGAATTGGATCGCACAGACCTTGCGACAGAAGGGTGTCAGAATAATTGTGTATCTGGACGATTATCTTCTGGCTCACCAAGATTCTGCCACCCTTCGATGTCACGTGACTATGGCACTGGAAACTTTGGAGAGTCTCGGTTGGATGATAAATTACGAGAAATCTATCTTATGCCCATCGAAAAGCCTCGTCTTCCTCGGAATTCATTGGAGCCCTTGGCTCAATCAAAAGTCTTTGCCAGCAAAAAAGGTGCAATCATTGACTGTCAAAATCAACCACATGCTTCATGCAAAAAGAACCGACGTAAAAGAAGTCCAGAGCCTAACCGGAGGATTAAATTTTGCAAGTTTTGTCGTTCCAAACGGCAGGCTAAATTATCGTGTACTTCTAAATTTCCAAAACAAAATCCTGTCCTCACGAAAGACACATGTTGTTCCACCCGGAGTCAGACAAGATTTAATATGGTGGCTGAGAAATTGCCACCTTTCATCAATGATACACTTACCGCCTCCAGCACACTTTCTAACGACCGACGCGTCAGATCTGGCCTGGGGAGCGCAATTAGACCATCTCCCATTATCGGGATTGTGGACTGGTGCAGAACGTACTCTTCATTGCAATCAAAAAGAAATGTTAGCAATCTTATACGTATTAAGAGATCACTGTCTGTACCTGCATCATTCCACAGTTCTAATTCAGTGCGACAACAAAACTGTGATTGCCTACCTCAGGAATCAGGGAGGTACAAAGTCAAATCCCTTGATGAATTTGACATACCAAGTGTTCGAGATTCTAGACCGTTTTCAAATACACCTCAAGTTACATCATCTCCCAGGGAGGTACAACAGTCATGCGGACCATCTCTCGAGACTTCGAGCGCCCCCAGAGTGGCATCTACTGAACTCGTGTGTAGTGTTTGCAAGGTTTGGCACTCCAGTGATCGATCTATTTGCCTCTCAAAGGGCTCACGTTGTCTCGAACTATGTGACCCTAGACCTAAACGACCATCGAGCTGCTTTTCACGACGCCTTTTCAAGGACATGGGATTACCCACTGGCGTGGGTGTTTCCACCGCCATTTCTAGTACCAAAAGTGCTGGCCCATCTCAATCGGGCAAAAGGTGTCTATCTTTTAGTGGTTCCGCGATGGAAGAAGGTATTCTGGCGGGCCGACCTA